TAGACCATACCATCCTCTTGGACCGCCTGAGTGGGTTAGGAATCGGAGCCACTGCATTGCAGTGGTTCCATTCCTTCCCCTCAGGCAGGTCCCAGAGGGTGCTGTTTGGGGACAGTTGTTCTGTAAAAAAAGACCTTACATCTGGCATCCCTCAAGGTGCCATTCTGTCCCCGATGTTGTTTAACATCAATATGAAGCTGCTGGGTGAGATCATCCGGAGACATGGGGCTGGGTGTTATCAGTACACTGATGACATCCAGATTTATTTCTCCATGTCTTGATCGTAGGCCTTGACTCCCGATAGCATCTCTTCTCTCAATGACTGTCTTAAGGCAGTAATGGGCTGGATGAGAAAAAACAGATTGAGATTGAATCCAGACAAAATGGAGGTGCTCACAGTAGTGGCCCTGAAAACAGGAATTGGGTTGCAATCTCCAGTCCTGGACGGGGTCACACTCTCCATGAAAGACTGTGTTCACAGTTTGGGGGTGCTCCTGGACTCGTTGCTCCTGATGACTAATCAGATGAATGAGACGGTCAGGAGTGCCTGCTGATATGCCAGCTGCACCTTTTCCTAGAAGCAAGAGACCTTGAGACTGTGGTGCACACGCTGGTAACTTCTCATCTGGATTTCTGTAAGGCGCTCTACATGGGGCTACTTGGTCCGGAAACTCTAGTTAGTACAAAACATGGCAGCCAGAGTGGTCTCGAGAACAGCAAGGAGATACCACATAACACCGGTATTAAAGTCCCTTCACTGGCTGCCTATTAGTTTCCAGGCCCAGTATAAGGTGTTGGTTATTACCTTTAAAGCCATAAATGGCTTAGATCCAACCTATCTTCGGGACCGCCTCCTTCCATACAATCCTCCCCACTCACTCCCGTCCTCTGGAAGGAATTTGATGCAGCCAATAAAAACAAGGTTGTCTGCGACCTCCCAGAGAACATTTTCAGTAATTGCCCCCAGACTATGGAATGGCCTGCCAGATGAGATCCATCAGATTACAACCTTAAGCAGCTTTTAAAAGGCTGTGAAGATGGATTTCTTTCGGCAGGCCTTTCCTGACTAGATTCCTGGCCTCAGGAGTTTGCCCAGCTTTACCTTTTCTATTTTTGGCTCTTGTCACTCCTCCGGTTCGTTTATGGTCTCTCCAGTAATTTCATTTTATCTTGTGTTGTTTTATGTAATATCTTTTAACAGAGGTGTGGTTAATACTTTTTTAAGGGGGGGGGGATTGGATGTTTACTCTGTATTTTTGTATGGAATTTTAACTGTTGTAAGCCGCCCCGAATGTTTGACAGAGGGGCAGGATAGAAATAAATTTATTATTATTATTATTATTATTATTATTATTATTATTATTATTGGGATGGTAAAATCCAGACAATCATCTGGGTGAGACCTAAGTATATTTTATGGCATAGACTGATCCTCTTGATAATAGGCACCTCTGCAGCAGTCTAACATAAGAATGGAGCCTGAAATGTTATTTTTATAAATTTTTAAAACTGCATTACCAGTTAGCATTATTATTTAAAGAGCTGCACATTGATTACTAAAGCATTATTTTCAGTTGCTTTCTCCTCCCCCCCAATACACTTAAAAAAAATATCCCAAATCCCTTCAGAATAACTGTTGATTGTTACACTAAAAGAAAATAACAATGTCAACAGTGTTTATGTTATTTTAATACAATAAAGTCACCACACCTTCATTATTTCCCAGTAACAGTTAATATGAAATAAATTATCATATGTATATTGCACATGTCAGTAAAACTGCATACTACAAAGACAGGTTTCATGTTTGTTTTCCTTTCAGCTTTGTCCCAGAACCCTCCAGATGCTGATTTCTAGCATACATCTATGTGTGTACATGTCCCCTCAAGTCACTTTATGGCAACCCCCTTAATTTAATAGGGTTTTCTTAGGCATGGAATCCTCAGAGGTGGTTTTGCCAGTTGCCATACCTTTACAACCACAGGAATTAAGCCCCATAGGACAGTGTAGATCTTTAAAAGAGGGTGGTCCACCAGTGATGATGCAAGTATTGTCCTCTGGGACAAGAAAACCCTCACTACTTCTCAAGTAATAGCAAAAGAAGGTCTGCGCCATGAGTGGAGCTGAAGACAGTACATATCTGTTGATTCCAAAGGACCCATCCTTACATATCCAGCACCCGCTCACCCTGCATCCTATCCATCTTCTACATGCCAGCAGAGGGCTCTAGAATTGTCAGGGCTCTGGATTTGGCAATATCTTCCCCACAGAATCACTCTTCCAGACATCTTTGGGATTCTCAGCCCAAGGTGATAATGCAGTCATCCTGAAGCTACTGAATATTTTAGATGGAATTTATATGGTGAAGGTAGTTTAGAGACATCAGGTTTTAAAGGAAAACAATGTTTGAAATAAAATGATCAAAAAGACTTTAATGCAAAATAACATGTGTGTTTTCTTTAGGAAGCTCCTGAAGAAGAAGAAATTGCATGCCTGTCATTTCCTTTCTTTTTTTTTATAATAAGTTTATTGATTTTAAAAGTAAACACACATCCATAAACGTATATACATCCAACATACCAACATTATATACATACAAAACACACAAAACATAAAAAAGAAAATGAAAGAAAAAGTAAAACAGAAAGAAAAAGAAAAAAAGAGAAAAAAGAAAAGAAAAAAGTGATCATTTATACTCACATCATACATATATATCCCAATCTAACTGCTTGCCTTACAAAACGTAGGGCCTAAGCAGACCATGGCGTCCAGGACACCCTGGTCCGGAGCGCT